CAAATTCACAAACTAGCGACTTTCCTCCCTATTAGAAGCAAATGAAGAACTTAACTTAGGCTTCGCAGGACCTTTGGATTCATATTGGGGGTCAAACAAATATATTTTACTTTGCATCGATAGATTTTCTAAATTTCCTTCGGCAAAAATTACATCATCTACTTCTGCAAAAACAGTTATCAAATTTCTACAGGAATACATATTCTTACATGGTACACCGTATTCAATAAGGTTAAACCACGCGACTTGCTTTACAAGCCAAGATTTTAAATTATTCTGTGACTCGAACAATATCAAAACAATATTTTGTAGAGTAGGCGACCATCGTTCCAACGGATTAGTCGAAAAAATGGCGCATACTGTAAAATTAAACTGCTTGCTATATCACAAGAACATCAAAATTGTACACTCCAAAACGCCATTTCAAAAATTATCTGGAACCTATGATCATCATATGAATCTAAAATCAAATGTTCTCCCTTTGAAATCCATTATAACAGAAAACGGAAACAATTAGCTTCTGATAAACCATCCATTGGAATTTCAGACAAAGGAAATCCATAATATAAAAAGAAAGGGTGAACGACTGGAACTCGGACGATAGACTCGAAGATGGCTACAAGGACGACTTGGTAGCGAAAAAGAATCAAACACCAGCCGAAAAGGGCTACGACACAGACTATGCCTCATCTTCTAAAACTAAAACCGATAGAATACCACTCCAAAGCCCCTTCAAAGGTAAAATCCTTCGGAAAACAAACGGTAACATCAACCGAGACCGTTTTTATAAGGAACTAAACAAAAGAATTATAAATTCGTCTACCTCGACAGTAGAATTATCCGACGGAAAAATAATACGAAAATCTGACATCGCGATTCCTAAATTAAACTCGACTAAAATTAGACCTTTTAAAGGAAACATTTCATTCCCTTATTTCCCTATTTCTAATGTTGAAGTAGGTCAGAAGCAGGAGTGTTCGAGACGAAAACCTAAACCGAGAAAGCCACATCCAAAAACTCGCAAGCACGTCGAACTGGCATCATCAGATAACTTGACGAGGACACGCGTGTCGGGGTCATCCTCCAAACCAGTTCGGAGACAAACTCGTCAGTCGAAGAAGTCGACAACCCCTCCAGGTTACCTTGCTTCGGATGAATCTATGCTAACTCCCTCGGATATATCTGATACTAGCGACTGGGAATGGATAGCGGGCGGTTTCCCTTGTAAAGATGTGGCCAGAGAGCGTTTTATTTCGGACTCATGCAAAGCACATATTCCAAATGGAATCAGCGCTAACTCTAGCTTACTCAAAAATAACACTAAAGTTGAGGTTTTAGAGGACGTCAATGTTCAAGACGGAGATCAATTTGGGGACCAAACTACTGAATGGCCAATAAGCATCATCCCCGCAAGTCGAATCCCTACTTCTCGCGACCAGAGTGCTACACCACAGGCGGAAGAATATGGAAACAGCAAGCTACGGGAGCTTCAAGACATATCTAATCCAGCGGGCAAGGACACAATAACAGACTTCCCGGTTTATGAAATAGTCGATTCTGCAGACGATTCCACTCCAACTCCCGACTCTTCCAACGAACCTGGTAACGATCCTCGTATCATTCGACGCTCTAGTAGGAATGTTGTTCCACCAAAATTTACGGTCAAAGGTACTTTATAGATGTTGTAGATTTTCCCCAAGAGACCTCTGGTTCTGCAGCTAACCCAATCGTATTAGAAATCGAAGACAACATCAATCATGAAGCGAACGATACTACAACTCCGGCGTAATTAGTGATAATTGACTCGGATTCACCATCTCCCGATCAAATTTCTACCGCTTCAACCGATGAATCTTTAAAAATGGCAGTTGATAATTTCGCCGAGCACTCAGAACTTGATACTGAACTTTTCAATGCTGAACTCGAAAACTTTTTGAAAACAGAAATTGTAAACGATAACTTAGTACCGATTTCCATTTTGAGTACCTTTCATTTCATTTCCTGTTGCTAAACCTCATCATCCCCATAATCTTAAAGTCGGAATACTTAGGTTGTGTAACCTTATCTTAAACATGTTAATCCTTCGGATTTGATAAACAGTATTTTTTTTTCATTTGTCTCCTCAAGATCCTTCAGATTGCAGTTATTCAACTTTTTGTGGCGTCATACCACACCACCAGTCAACACACGGTGATAAATGTTTCTTAGACGTGCGGCTACATATTTGTTTTTTGTAGGTCAAATCCGTCGGATACCGGATAACCCCATCCTTTTATTTACTTTCGCATTACCTAGTGCCATTGTTAGTACCTAGTTTAGTCATTCAGTCGCTTACACACACGTGTAATAAAATTTTTCTCTACTCCCCAAAAAGGGGGGAAAGGACTCAGTTAATTTGTATTTACCTATTTGGCGCTAGTTAAAATTTTTACTGCTTAGAGGAATGTTGAGATTCGTATTTTATCTTGCATCTATTGCAAACTTTACCTATCTTAATTAGATAACAGGCCACTAACATATGACCTTCACTTGCCATTCTCTCCGGCGGAAAAAATGATCTCTCACTTTTTAATGTTTTAACTTCAGACTAATTCACTTTAATACCTTTATTCTTTTTTATAGTTTTAACTTAGAATTAGCTACAACAAAGCATCATAGCGTCTCATATTGTTTTAAAAAACCTTAATTAATCACCTTAATTGAATTTTGACGCTTTAGCTTCCCACTTACACGTGTTATAAGAACGCATTTTGGCGCGTTGAAATCCCAAATTGGCCATATTAGCAGTTTTCGAAACCCGTAATTTTACGAAAATTGATCACAGTTGAATTATCTTTTCAAATTTGAGCTCAGGACAACAATTCTTTCATAAAGGGTTCAAAAACTTTAGTCAAAAACGCTTAGTTAACTTGTCAAAATTTGACTGAATAAAAAACCCACCCCAAGCATAAATACTCCGCGTTTTCGTCAAAAGTCGGAACAATAAAGCTCTATCGGCTATAGGTGATTCAATAGAGTCCTCACTTCACTTCACTCATCGCTTTTATTGATGAGAAAACTGCTCTTATCAGGGCGACGCCTGATTGTTCCGACTGCCCTCCAATTTTTTGAAATAGTTTATGAAACATCCGTTGAAAATGCTGATAAAACATTCAAATAAAAAAAATGATTTTAAACTTTTTTTTCTGAAAACTTCCTTCTGCACGCTCTGCCGAGTACAAATAAAAGTTTTTAGCGTTTGGGCCAATCTATGAGCAACTCTTTAGATGCTTAAGCGTTAATAGCATCAAATTTCTGGCGCATCAAGTTTTCTAACGCGCCAGAAATTTGATGCTGTTTACGCGTAAGCAGCTAAATAGTTGCTCATAGATTGATCCAAACTGACGCTAAAATCATTTATTTGTGCTTGGCATAGCGTGTAAAAGGAAGTTTTCAGAAAAAATCAAAAAAGACATTTTGTTGTTATTTGAAAGTTTTATCAGCATTTTTAACTGATGTTTCTTAACCTATATCAAAAAATTGAAGGGCACTCGGAACAATTGTCCCAAATTAGCAAAATTATCAATTTTCAAAACCCAATATTTTTGATAACTGCTCAAAAATTGTAACAGTTGAAATATTTTTTGAAATGTAGATCAGGATATCATTAGGTTTCAGATGCTAAGAAAAAATTCGTTCAAAAATGGCTAGTTGAAAAGTCGAAATTGGTCTGGAGAAAAAAACAAACCCGAGCACAAACTTTCTGAAGTTCTGAAAATCGGAACAATAGTGATGCATTAAACAAGCCAAATCAAGGCTTATAAAATAATTATCATGATTTTGTATCAGTTGTCACATTATAGTGTTTAAAAACTTCAATGCCTTCATAATCGAATTGTAATTTTACAGTCCAGTCTCTAGAATTTATTTTTAAAAAATCCATTAAATTTGAGTCAAAATAGGTTACAATGCTACTCTATTTCTTACAATTTTTTTAAACAATTTCATCACAAATTTGCTCCTTTCTTTAACCAATTATAATATAATCATTACAAGTGGACCTGAAGTTTTATAATTGTCAAGGTTTTTCATAACTATATCATAACAATTGTGTTTTTTTTTGGTTTGTGTATGAAAACTGTTATCTAACGTTCAAATTGTATTCCAAACTATTCTACTTTTATTTTATTTTCACTCATCCCCACCTTTTCAGTTAACCCCCCACACCCCCTCCCCGCACCATTTATCTTCCTCCTTACCTCCTCGCACATACTTCATTTCCACATTAATTCCTCAAGTTAAAAAGTGAGGTGTGCGAAAGTCTGGGGGGGGGGGGGGGGGGGGGTTGCTTTTAACCTGCTATTTCATTACGGAAATTCGAATGGAAAACTAAAAAGGGGCGAGGGGTGAGATCGAGGGGGTAAGTATGGTGGAAGAGGGTAAAACGTGGGTGGTGAGTGAGGAAACTGCCAGTTCTCTACAGTATTCCCCTCTTAGATAAATTCAATTCTTAGAAACTCTTCCGTCCCTACAAATCAGAACATTTTTCCTAGGTCGAAATACTTCTCGGTCGATTACCATCTTCTATCGAAATGAATTTTCCCGTTCGAACACAATTGGAATCTTTTTCCTCGGCCAAACAGTCGAATCGTTTTTCTCGGTCAGAATTTCTTCGGTCTAATAAATTATCGGCCTGAGTCGCGCAGAAAACTCTTCTTCGTGCAAAATAGCAACATCCCTTTTTTGAGTCGCGATGATTGTAACATCAGTCCCCGACCTCGGCCTGGACATGGAAGATAAAATTTTGCAAATTTTTATAATATCTGTTATGTTTGGAAATTGAAAAGGCCGTAAGTATTAAACAAAGCTTTTAAAAACGAAGTTTTCTATTTTTTTTGTAAAACCTTATAACAATATTTTTATGTCGCTGCACTATCTGGTTTGTGTTGTTGGTAAATACTGCAATATGTTATTTGGTCTTGGAAATTGTTCAGTATGGCATCTTGCTTTCTGCGTTTCAGGCATTGTCGTGTGATGAAGGCTGGATCACATTCATGCCCTTTGTGCTCCCAGTGACCATCTTCATGACCTACTGTCCCCTTCTCTGCCTCATCTTCTTCAATGCCAAAATATTCATCACTCTCAGAACAAACGCAAAGGTATGGGGGCAGTCTAGTACTGTTCGTATAGGCTACTTTTTTTCATTCATGCGAGTGGCAGTGAAGTGGCGTATGTATCCGTTCATTAAGTGACAGGTTACTGGTTCGAGGCCCACGCTCGAATCTATGCTCGAGTTTTTGACACTGCGGCAACATTCTCCAGCCCGGAAAAATAACCAAAAACATTGCAATGGCCTGTTAACCAGGGGAGAGCGCGCGCCGAAATTTTTTTTCAACAAAGTGCCTAAAAACGCCTTTTTCTCAAAAATTTGCAAGCGGCGCAGAAGTTTTGTTCAAATTAGGGTCTGTATAGTGGTTTGGGAGAGCTCAGAGAATCAATTTGGTCGACCTAAAACTTAGCGATATTTATTTTGACCTTGCCTAACCTTGGCGATATTTGTTTTGGCTGCAGGCCTGTCCGATTTCAAACATTTTAATCTGTGTGTTTGATATTTTGGTGCTGATAAAATGTTTCTTTGTTACGGATAATTCTATTTAGTTACAAATAAGATATGTTTAAAAAGTGAATTAATCTCTAAATTAAAACATTAAAAAGTGAGCAGTCATTCTCTCCGTCGGAGAGAATGAAGATAACAAGGTCATATCTAAATTAACCAGTTAAGAAACTTTAAAACTAATTAAATGAAATAAGACGAATAGTAAGATTCGCAACATTCCCCTTAGTGGGAAAAAAAATTAAAGTATTAAGCGCCATGATACATAACATGTTATCTAACCCTTTTTCTCCCTCTCGAGAAGTCCAACAAGGATTGAAAATTAAATACTGTGCAATATCACAAATGAAATTTTAGTGCTCCGAAGGAATGACTGAATTAGAAAGAATGATATAATTTCTAATTCCGGCGGATTATAATCCCTAGTTATAAGAAGGTAAACTCTAACTGCGCTAAAACGAAACACTAATACGATATAATGACTAAATGTGAGTTTTCAAGTTTTTGATTTAGTTTAGCTGTCCCCTTCCATGAATTTTTCTAGCTCAGCGTTAAAAATTTCACTGTCTAAGTCGATGTAGTTGTCGAAATTGTTCACCGAATCTCTCAGGGATTCGTCAGTAGAAGCGATGGAGAATTGATCAGGAGATGAAGGGTACGCTGGGCCCGGTGCACGGTCCTCCGGTAGAGTGTCGCAAATGTGAGTCTGGTTCTCCGAGGGATTCTCTCTGAAGGTTAGAGTGGGGAATCCCGAGCTGTCGCCTTCGTCCAGAGATATAGGGTTATTCGCGGAGCCTGGTTGGTTTTCGCACTCGTCTATAATATCTATGTAATATCGCTTACCATAGAATTGTGGGGGACCAACATTTCGACTTGAACGTCTTAATTTAAATTCGTTACCGGTGATAGTGATTTCCTTAGGATGTCTTTCCTCACTATTTGCACTTTCGTTAGAGGAGTCCTCTATCTCAAAGACTGGGAATTCCACCGGATTTTCTCCTTCCAATGCTTTTGTTGAATCCGAAGGAATGTTTGGGCCCTCTGTTGTCGTAGCGGTAGAAGATTCGCCAGGTGTGTGTGAGGTAGATTGAGGTGCTGGCTTTATACTAATTGGGCCTTCCGCTGTATCTGTAGATTGAAGTTGTTCGTCTAAAATCTCAGATTTTATATTAGTTTGATATGTTTGAGGAGCTAATGGTGGGGAAGGGTTTTCGTTAAAATTGAGGTTATCTGAAATGAAGCGTTTTCGTATCATTTCTCTGCATGGAAAACCTCCCGCAATCCATTCCCAATCACTAATGTCCGACGTATCCGACGGAATGAACATGGATTCGTCACCTGCTAAGTATCCTGTGTTCGAAGTCGAGGCTTTATTTCGGTTTCGCTTCGGTTTGTTGAATTTAGTAGGCTGTCTCGTTCCTCTAGATCTGGTGGTGACCGGGGTGAAAGACTCTTTGTGTCGTCCTGTCATAGTGTCTGGTTTCCGCGTCTGTTGTGTCTTCGCTCTGTTTGTCTTTCTTGGACCTACTTGTAAATCACTGTTAGAAAAAGAGGGAAATGAGATATTCCCTTTGAATGAACGAATTGTAGAGGATTTAGACTTTGGGATGGCGATGTCCGATTTTCTAAAGATTTTTCCGTCGGATAGTTCAACCGTGGATTTTGTTGAGTTTATTATTTTCTGACCTAGTTGTTTATAGAAGGGATTTCCGTTTATACTTCCGTTGGTTTTTCGTAGTAAATTACCTTTAAACGGACTGTTTAAGGCCACTCGAGAAGATGAAGGTTTTGAGGTTGTTGGAAGGTCTGAGTCATAGCCTTTCTCCAATGGTGACTGGTTCTTTTTCGGTACTAGAAGGTCTTTGTATCCGTCCTCTATCCGATCGTCAGCATTCCAGTCAAGGGCCCTTTCTCTGCTTAAGATCGACTTCCCTTTGTCTAAAATTCCACCGGATAATTTATTAGATGCCAATTGCTTCCAGATCGTGTTCGGTTTTCTATTAAAGTATATTTCGAACGGTGAGCATTTTATTTTTGATTGGAAGGAAGATCGTAAATTCCAAATGATTTTCGAAATGGCAATTTGTAATGTAGGTTTTTGTTGTTCCAAAGACATTGCTAATAATTTGATTTTTACAGTATGAACAAGTTTTTCTACAAGACCGTTAGAACGATGATCCCCAACTGTACAAAATATTAATTTGATATTAAGAGAATTGCAAAATAATTTAAAATCCTGACTAGTAAAACAGGATGCGTGGTCAACACGAATGGAGTTAGGAATCCCATGGAGATAGAAATAATCTTGAAGGAATTCGATTACCGTGTTTGATGACGTTGAAGAAGTAATTTTTGCTGATGGGAATTTTGAAAAACGATCTATACATAATAAGATGTATTTATTGTTTCCCCAGTTGTTATCTAATGGACCAGCAAAATCAAGGTTTAATTCCTCATTTGGTGCAAATAAAGTGGGGAGTTCGCTAATTTGTGTAGTTGGTATGATGCTTTTTATATTCTTACCAGTTTGAGTGCATTGTGTGCAATTAATCCCGTGGAAATAAATTTGTCGGTTTATATGTGGCCACCAAATATATTGTGCCAGGTATTTCATACCGAATTGGCCAGGGTGTGATTCGTGTAAAGTTTTTAAAACGGCGTTTCTAAGTGTAAACGGAGTAACCAATTTTCCATCCATATATAATAGTCCGTCGGATTCATGGAGGTCTTTCGAAAATTGGTGTAAGTAACGGGAATTTGCGTTGATGTTTCCTACTTTTTTCTGTAAAGCTTTCACAATTGGGTTTAACATCTCATCATCTTCCGTTAATAAAGCAACCAACTTTGCATTGAATAAAGTATTTAAATCCAAAGGTCTTTCAGGTAACTTGAGGTTTTCTCGAAATTTAGTTACTAACTTTTTGTGCTCTGAGTAAATTTGGAAATCAATAGAGACCTGTATCCCGGAAGTGGAAGGATTTACTACAATTTGGTTATTTGACATATTTACACTATTTATAAGTTTGATATCCGAAGGATTACTAATTAAGCTACTGTTAATAATTAAAAAATAAATAAAGGCTGAATTTGATAGAAGGATTTTAGTAGAATCTGTGCTTGAGAAATCCGAGGGAATACATTTAGAGTTACAAAATTCTGTTCTATAGTGTTTTTGATTGCAGATTGAGATGGAAGAATTGACGAAATTCAATGCTGTAATTATTACGTGATTTCGTAATTTCGTGTACTGGGAATTTTCCGAAATTGAATTAATTGAATTACGTTATGGATTTTCATTATCCAAAGGATTGAGTGCATTATATATTTTTTCGGTAGTTGCAACTACGAATTCTTTGTCGTAATGGGATGGGGGAATTGCTTTACCCGAAGGAGTTCTTGAAATTAGATCGGTAAAACCCATATCTTTTCCCGCTAAATGCTTGATAGTAAAATTGAATGGTAGAAGACGATCTACCCATCTTCTCAATCGGCTATGGTACGTTTTGTTTCCGTGATTAGGTGACAAAGCGGAAAGGAGAGCTTTGTGGTCGGTAATAATTTCGAATTCGGAACCGTAGAGATAATTTTTGTAATGTTCCACCGCCCATACAACTCCTAATAACTCTAATTCGTTTGTTGAATATTTGGATTCATGAGGATTTAAAAATCTTGAAGCAAATGACACTGTTTTCCAAACGTTTTCATGGAGTTGTTCGAGGGATGCACCTAACCCATTGTGTGAAGCATCGGTTTTTACTCTCGTGGACTTTTTTACGTCGAAGTGTGTGTTTTCAGTAAGATTTACTATTTCTGATTTAATCTTATCGAACGCTTTTGAGTGATCTTCATTCCAAAGGAAAATTGACTTCTTGTTTGGAAGAGGTCTAAGCGGGCTTCCGAGGGATGCTAAATTTGGTACAAATTTAATGTACTGATTAGTTGACCCGAAGAATGATCTTAATTCTTTTAGATTCTTTGGAATTGGAATATCTTTGATTGCCTTGGTTTTATCGAATAGTGGGGCGATTCCGGTTTTCGATATTTTAAAGCCGAGCCATTCGATTTCTTTTTGGAAGAATTTGCATTTCGACCATTTAACTGCGAAATTGTAACTATCTAGCGTTGATAAAATTTTATAAACAATTTTCTTGTGATCGTTAAAACTTCCTTTGGAAGCGACTAATATGTCGTCAAGGTAACAATTAGTGAAAGGAATATTTCCCAGAGTTGAGTCCATGACTCTTTGAAACTCGTTTGGCATATCGCCGAGTCCGTAAAAACCGGTTAAAAATTGATAAGTGCCTGTTATATCTCCGCCAACTAGGCTAAAATTGCATTGGCTGCTAGTAAAGTTGTCTAGCGAGAGTTGACTATATGCGTTCTTTAAGTCTAGATTTGTAAACCATACTTCTCCGGCGGAGTTGTTTGAAATTTGAGCCGCTACGTTATCCACTAACTCGTGTATATTGGGCATCTGATATTTGTTCTTGTAAATCTGTTTGTTGATAAATTTTGAATCTAGAGCTAGCTTTATCGATTTGTCTTTTTTACAAGTGATAACTATCAGACTAATAAATCTGTCCTCGTCACAGTTTTCTAATTTTTTGATGTTAAGTCTGTATAATTCTGATTTTACTGAATCCAGTAAGTGTAAAGGGACCCTACTGCCTTTTAGTTGAATTGGCTTTAGAGGTTCGTGAAAGTGTGTTATTTTTGTTTGATTTTTTATCTTTCCAATCCGAAGGAATAATTGTTTGAAGGTTTTGGAAATCATTTCTATTTCAATATCTCTGTCAAGTGAGGTAACTGAATTGATAGACTTACAAGTTCTCTTGTTGGTGAGTGTTGTGAATTGTTTTTGTGAAACTTCAATTCCGACTTTTGGTAAATTGTTGTTTCCCAAGATGTTTCTTTCATGACCTTGAGTTAAGAAGAAGTGGCATTCCTTGTGAGACCATCCATTTGAGAAAATTGGGACGATTACCTCTCCAGTGATATTTATTGCGTTGTTCGTAAATCCGCAATAGAGTTCTTTAGTCGCTTTATCTACTGGATAAATTTTCACATAAGGGTCTCGTAACTTCAACTCGTGTAACACGTTCTGCTTAAGGAAGCTTACAGGGCTTGCTGAGTCCACCTGTATATTGAGAATTACTTGATTTTCATTTCCTAAGCCGATGTTTAGTAATTTCTTCAGTTCCTTTCCTTGATCGTCGTAGATAGTTGTTACGTTTAATACAGAGTAATCATCGTTATCGCTCTGTCCGGACTCCGACCATGCGTTGATTACTCCACAGCATTCTCTATTGGCGTGGTCGATATGTACATCCGGTTGTTCCGAAGGATAATTATGGTCTGTATTATTTACAATTTGACTATCCACAATATTTACATTTTTACGGCGTGATTTACAGAGTCTAGTAAAATGTCCTCGATATTTACAAGTCGTACAAGTCGTATCTTTAGCGAGGCAAACCGCTAGATGTCCTTTTGTAAAATTTCCGCCGCATTTCATACATGTGTTGGTTCTTTCGATGTTTAGGGTGGGTTCTCTTTTTACATTAAAATGATTAAAAGATTTGTTGGAGGAATATCCGTTGGATTTAAAAGTACTCGTCATTTTGATGTGGTTTGTTATTCCTTTTTCGTCAATCAGGGCTACATTTAAGGCTTCTAGTGGAGGTAAGGTTTCCGTGAGAAGTTTCCGTTGGATGTCCGAGTTCTTCATGTTATTGATAAAAATATCTCGAAACCATTCGTCTTCTCCTGTGGGAATGTTACATCTTTTCGCCATTTCTGCAAGTGCCCCCCAGAATTGTTCTAATGATTCTCTGTCCCTCTGTTTTCTGTTTAATAGCTTGTGTCTTTCGAAGGTTATGTTTGTCTTTCTCACAAAAGCTACGGACAAATTTTCCCAAAATTCTTTGAAAGAAATTTGTAGAACTTTAACTCTCGTAAACTTTTGGCCGAATATTTTCTTTCCTTCGTTTCCGAGGGCTAGATAGAGTATGGATCTGAGTTTTTTGTCCGCCTCTTCAAGTCTCATGCAGTTGAATTTCTTGGTTTCTGACTTTATTGAGGCCATTTCTTCATCATCGAATCTCTTTTGTTCTCGAATATTCCTCTCGATGCGAGATGTTTTTTGAGCGTCGGATTCACTTTCCGGCGGATTTTCCAATGTTGGGGGAAGTGGATGATATCGTTCCGATGGATTCAAGAGATTTTCGATATCGATATTCTCCTTTGCGACTATTGCTAGCTGGAATAGATCGCTCCACTCTTCCCAAGGTATTGGTGGGTCCACTCTGTGGTTTTGCCAAAATGAAGGTATACCTCTCACGTTTGATTCGTTGCTGTTTGACTGCGCCATGATAAAATGTTTCTTTGTTACGGATAATTCTACTTAGTTACAAATAAGATATGTTTAAAAAGTGAATTAATCTCTAAATTAAAACATTAAAAAGTGAGCGGTCATTCTCTCCGTCGGAGAGAATGAAGATAACAAGGTCATATCTAAATTAACCAGTTAAGAAACTTTAAAACTAATTAAATGAAATAAGACGAATAGTAAGATTCGCAACAGGTGCACACCCACCTTGTTTTAAATTTATTTGACCGATATTCCAATAAGAATGGAGGATTAGAAAAGTGATTCCTAAATTGAGGATAAAATTTAGTGCTAAGTAAAACGAAAGTAGTTAAATTGCTTGAGGTTAAATTGCTTGAAGTGAAATTATTTGAGGACATGGTATTAAACTATAAGAAGTTAAATATTATAACAACGAATAAAAGTAGGTCTCATATTATTTATCTGATGGAATGAAAAATGTGTCTGAAAGCTCAATTTTTTAAGGCGGTGGAGAAGTCTGAGAGTAAGTCTTCGGGTGGAGGTGGACAAGAGGGGGGACCCGGGACACCCACGTTCGCAGGCAAAGCCAGGGCTGTGCTCGCAATCATCAGAACCCGCAAACTGGCCAGAGAGTCCAGAGGAGCAGCAGGGGAGGAGGAGAGAGGGGTCACCGACCCAGAGCAGGCAAGTTGCGGCGAATAACAACCATTTTGGTGTCTTCATTTGTTAGCAAAGCTAATTATGCTCATTTTGTCATCTGTTTGGGAACATGTGGTGGTCGAAATAGTTTGAAGTGGGGTTTGATTGTGGTATAAAATTATTTCTGCCAATGACTGATTTTATGATAAATATGTTAACATATATGCTATAAACTAGTGCCTTTTCAAGGAAGAAGAATTAGCCGAGAAAAGCAAAGCACTCGAAAGAGAACTACAAGCCAAGCGCATCAGCACTTTCAAGTCCAATTTGAATCATCGCAAATTGGGACCCCAAAATAAAAGCAACGTCTGGGACAGATTCGCCACTTCGGTTGCCGCAGCCAGAAGACAAAGTAATCTGGACGAAGAGTTAAGTCCAGTGGTCAAAAATGCACCCATTATATTCTCAACCAGAACCCAAAACATTCTCCTGGATGCCGTCATCAACGGCAACTCCGAAGTCACAGTCGGTCGCAATCCTGGGGCTAAATTTTCGAAGGCATCTTCAGTTCCAAGACCAGACTTGAACCTAAACATGAATAGTGGAACTGTTAGTAGCCATCTAGCGGGCAAGCACAGCATGAGTGCCATGTCAGGTGTTGGTGACTCATCCCCATTTTCGAAAGTTTCGTTTATGAACCAACCCTCGAATGGCGGAGTGCATATGGCAGATGTGGAAGTTAGCACATATCAGATTGCGAACACCAATCACAGTGAGTTTGTTCATTATCAGACTTTTGATATGAGTACAACACACATCTGACAAAACGGTTGGATATAATAATATTTGTTGAAGAAACTTCAAGTGAGATTTTTTACTGTTCGTTGACTTGGTCTTAAACCACGAAAAAGATACCTGATGAATTTTCATAGATAATGCTCAAACTAAAAACTAAGAGATCAAAATTAATATTTGGGAAAAATTCAAGTTTTGGACGTTTTCGTTTAGCTGGGAATGGCATTGGATCTCCAAAATCGACCCACTATGTCCCAATGTCCAGATGCAACAGCAAACATAACACACCCGCCACTGGCAACGGTGTAATACATAACATGGACAATGAACTGACTTCACCCACTTCTGTTAGTTTCCATTTAAAGTTCCACGTCTTAGTCAAAAGGTCGGTAGTTCGAGTACCACCATGATCCCGTGCTCGTTGCCTACGGATAACGTAACAATTCTCAGCCATGAAGACAATCAAAAAGCGTGTCTTTTGAAAGAAGGAGAGCAACAGCCCTTTATCCGTAAAGAGCTAACAGCCTGTATGCTAGTCCGTTCCCTCGCAAATAAATGGTCTCAGCTGATCAGATGCAACTAATCAATGATTCTTGATCAACCGAATGAAGTTTTTCAGACAATGCATGCATAGATTTTCTCATCCCTCCTGCGACGCAAAAACGTTCTTTCAAGCTTTCCAAAAGTTTCTGTCATTTGTTGTTTTTTTTTAGCCAAACGGCCCTGTTTCATTTGATTGTTTCTTTATAGACTACGAAGACAAACAAGTCTGCTCGCATCAGGGCGAGGCCCTGAATGTTCCGACTGCCTTTTAAGGTCTATGGAGCAGTAAAAACATGAAACATTAGATGTAAAAAAAAAAACTGTTCGTATCAAGGCGAAGCCCTAAATGTTCCGACTGCCTTTTAAGGTCTAATGGAGCAATAATAACATAAAAAATTAAATATAAAAAAAATTAAATGGATTTTTTTTTATTTGAGATTTTAGCAAAAATCATCCCCACACGCCATATAAAGTACAAGTGATACGTTTCGCTCGTAGTAACAAATAAATTATGGCAAATAAGCTTTCTTAAACCAATTTGGAACGATTTCTAAGACAGAGTAGATCTCCGCTTATGCGTCAATAGCGCGAAATGTATCGCGCGTTAATTGTCCCAAAATGGCATTTTTAAACCCCCATAATTTTACAAAAAATAATCACAAGTGAAGTATCTTTTCAAATTTAAGCCAAGAAAAACAATACCTTTTGAATGATATAAAAAATTCCGTCTAAAAAGTCGAAATTTGTCTGAAGAAAAAAACCCACCCCGAGCACAAATATTCCGTTACTTTCGTTACAAAAGTCGGAACAACAATTCAAAGTTCAAACAGTTCATTAAACTGGATTGTTCATATCTGAAATGAACAAATGAAATGAGCTGGTTAGATTTTTTGGCGTTATAATTGTGCAATGCATCCTTTTTATCCGTTTTGGACAACTTTTTTTCGATAATAATCAAAAAGTTCAAGTATGGATGCTACAATTAAAAATATACAAATCATCACCTAAAATTACTGCAATCGAGACTCGCTTCCATATCATGTCAAAACAATATATTACCCTTAAAAAAAGACAAACCAATATATAGCTGAAAACCATGATTTTATTTACTTTGCTAGATTACGTAACTTTAGTAATTTTTCCTTTTGTTTTTCACTTTTGTTTTCCATTAATTTCCGATTGTTTTCTTGTTTTTTAAGACTACTTTCAAGTCCAAAGATCAAATGTTTTCAGTGAGCACTTTTTGTTATAAATAAGTCAGCTTGAGGAATAATAGTTTTCAAAATGAGATCACTGGTTCCTCATCCGCCCAGTCTGTTTTTGTTTTTACGAAAGTTTCTATTGTTATTTGCTAAAGTTTGTGCCACTATAAGTAACATGGGGAAAAATCCAGGGTTTTAATTAAAAAACAGGCTCCAATAATGGCAGTTTACGGTGCAAAATATATACTGGCCGACTTCTGCGATGCAATTTTTACTTAGACTTTTATTTAATGATTGTTTTGTTTTCCCGCACCGAGCGCCCATGGATACTAATATATTATTTTGTCATAATATGGTCAATATCTATAACAATGCAAAACAATCGATTATATTTCATTAAAAATGGATTATAATCCTCAATTTTTTTTTGTCAATTTAATCCATTATAATCGATTATAAACCATTAAAAAAATAATATAATCCTAACATTTTTTTGCCAATAAAATTCATCATAATCGATTATAATGGATTTTTCAAGGGTTTATTCATAAAATTTACCTTTTTTAAGACTATCTCATTTCCTGTTTAGTGCAGTTGGTACGCATTACGTTTCATAAAATGTTACATTTCACTAAATAATTTATACCTTTTTGTTCCTACTTTTTTTAATTCATCGCAGTAACACACTTTTTCTACCCCCCCCCCGCCCTCCCCGTTTACCCCCCCCCCCCTTTTAAAAGAACATGAGGACAAAAATTGCTTGAATTTTATCAGCTTTTTTATCAGTCAACACTTTATGCAATATTTTGAACATAAATTACACTCATAAGACCTGTCAATTCATTTGGTTCAAAATTAAAGAGGCAAAGAGGGTCAGTCAATTGATATACAAAAACAGCAATTTACCATATTTTTAACTTTGAAACAAATGAATTGACAATTTTTAAGGGTGTAATTTTGGTTCAACATTTTGCAATAAAAATTGCATCATAAAAAGCTGGTAAAAATCTTTGCGGTTTTTATTTGAACCTTTTTTCGGCCAAATGTAAGCATTTTTGAAAAAAAAACGAGTTAATAATTTCCTTTTATTCAGTACTGTAGTAGCTTGTTAAGCACAAAACGCAGTGAACGTTCATGAAAATTGTGAATTTATTATGTTAGTTAAAGATTTGTTTATGTTGCTTTTCGATCAATTTTTCAGACTTATACTTTTTAGGATCTGAATTCTTGCCAAGACGAGAGCGCCTACTACAACGAAAGCACGTCACAACTGGCCGAATCCAGAGGGAGCACCAAGGGAGGAAGTGTTAAGCTGGGGGGCTCACTGGGCGGAAGTGGTCGAAGTCGGGGCAACCAGATGTCGGACGGGACTCGCAACCGGCAGCTGAGGCGACAGCAGAGGAACATGACGATATTTAAGACTATCATTGTGCTCGTGTGTGTCTACATCATCTGCTGCTGTCCCTTCAGTGTCATCACCTTCCTTGACCTCGTGTCCTCTGTGTCAGTGCCGAAGGTCACCACAGCTCAAGTCTCTTTTACACCTGGAGTCCACTTTCAAGGGCTCCAGTCAAGTTTTCAAGTTTTGTCATCTCAAAAAAACGTTTTTTTTCCGCAATGAACTCGGATTGAGAGCAACCAAAACAGCTCATATATGTGGTTTCAGTTTAAAGATTTGTGCTGTGACGCTTTAAAGTGTTTGTTATAACCTTTGTAAGGACTTAATTTAGGTTCTCCTTAAAGATTCTAACAGATCGTTACCTTGCTTCTTTGTCTTGTAAAGAAAGTGACCTTGATAGGATTGGCAAGGTTCAGCTGCAAAAAAAATTTCTTCAAATAAAAACTGCTATTTTTGTAGTTCTGGTGGGACATGAGTGTATGGTTTCTGTACTTGAACAGTGCCCTCAACCCCATCTTGTACGTCTACCGCAACATGCCATTCCGAAACGCCATCCGAAAGCTATACAGCTGCTGCCTACCCACACCCGGCAACAACACCAGCAAAGCCACCACACCCACACAACCCCAAACGCCCAGAGCTTAGACAGAAATATAGCAAGAAAAACATACACGGAGAGGGAGACAACCGAACTGCACTCTCAGCTGCTGGAAAAATGAATGTTACACGTCTTAAGATATGTATCAACGTGATGAACAATTTAACAAACTGAAAGACATAAAAATATGTGGAGAGGGAGATAATCAAACATTCTCTGCTCCTAAAGCATAAAAAATCCGTGGAAAAATTATTTTCGGACTTATGTGTAAACGTTTCCAGCCAACTGATAATGAACTCGACTCAAAAACCATCAATCAAGAAAAAAATAACGCGCCCCTTCAACAGAAAAAATTGAAGAAATTATGAATAATGGGAAAGACGACATTGAAATGAATCAACGAACAATTGAGCCACTGGAGGGAGGAGAGATCGAACCCTGTCTCTACTCCTAAAGAAAGAAAACAACTGTAGAAATTCAAATACACATCGATAATGTGTTAATGTGTATTTTTAACTCTTTTAAAATCTTGTATGCTTCTTAGAACTCCTTTTTTTGTAAAAATTCTAAGTTTTTTCAAGTGACAGTTTGAAATTCAAATGAGCATCTTTTTGTTTCAGTTAAAAAAGCTTAATCGAAGTACAAGATAGCTTTTAGAGTCGTAGCTGGTAGCTTCTGAAAAATTTGAGGATTTTTTGTCGTAAAAACTACACAAAATTTGGTTTTCTAAACTGATGAGCGCGATTGAATAAAGTTGCTCTACAGAATCATTATTGCTGCGACCGCAAAGTTGGAAAGACTGGTATTTACGCGGGCGTGTTTTATATTTGTAGTATGTTTTTGCTTGTCTTTTGTGGGCTGCTAAAGTTTAAGGTTACCCTTCCCAAAGAGCCACCAGAAATTTTTCCATTCTTAAATGCTAATACATGTGTGTATGTGTTCAAAGGAGCAATTTTTTTCTTAAATTTGTGAGATAGTTGGTAGCTTTTCATTGTTAATGGCTGAAAAATGTTCGCCTTAGGTATCAAACAGTAATTTCAAAAGTAATAGCTCATGAAAGCTTACTTGTTTTGATGAACAGTTAGACAATAGAGACTGGGTAGTTTCAATTTTTTGATGCAAGTATAAAACTAACGGATTTTTAATTGGTGATAATTGGGGATCACGTGTGTTAATTTGGGATAATTAGGGGCTTACTTGCCACTTTTATTTTATGAATTTATTGCGAGTTAGCATATTTTGCCGGCTGTCGTAATAACTAAGGATACGAGTGTTTTTTTGCGGGCTGTATTTTCTTGTGAGTTGATTTTAATGCGAGTTGTTGTGCATTGAATTAAATTATCTACCTGTTATTTCGTGGAAATTGAGTCAACAAGCCCGTACCCAGTGAACATGCTAATTCAAACCTGAAATAATCTGTCTCAGAACTGAAACAAATTGTGAAATAATAAAATAATGATTGGATACTTTAAGAATGGGTTGGCCCAAAACTAGTTTCAGATCTGATTTTTTGTGTTACTTGGTTATTTCAGATCTAAAAACATCTATTTCATATCTAATTTCAGCGCCAAAGTTTAGCTTTTTTGGTCATTTCAAATCTGAAAAATAAAAAATTCTGATAGATTTTTTGCAATTTTTCAATGTTTATAGCTTTTTCTAGCTGATAGCAGGTACTCAGTAACGTAGACAATCAGAGAATGCTGAATCATATTTCCCAAAGCATGCGATTTGTATCAGAAACTCATAAGTAGCGCATGAAACTCAAAAGTTTGTAAATTTTTTATAAATTTTTAAACCTTAAAACAGTTGAACAACAGATTTAGTTTGAAAAAGAAACTGTTTTTGTAGCTAATTGGAACTTTTTTCACCGCTTGATTTTCTTATTAACATTGAGTATTGCACAAACAGCCAAAAAAAGGATAGCCGGTTTTGTGCAACTTTTTGTAGTTAGAAAATACGAAAATATTTTTTTATAAATTAGTCTCGTTTTTTTTCCGCATGCTGTGATAAAAAAATCTGAACAAAAAAGAACCTAGTCTTATTTGATTATTTGACGGCGGTCATACTAAAAATGTCATTTGGAAAAGAACTTTTGAAGAAAAATGAGTAGAAAATAAAAAAAGTAAAAATTTTTTTAGAAAAAAATTTAAGAAAAAATTCAAAATTTTTTGCAGAAAATTTTGAAATTTTTGATCTTTGTTTACAAAATGGCGGTGAAAAACGTTCTTGTTTTTATTGAGTACAACTGTGTTTTAACGGCTTAAAGCAAGCTTAAATAAGCTATTGTACGCCTACAAGCTCACATCATTTTAGTTCGAAATTAGACCAAAAATCATTGAATGAGTTTTGGCATGATATATCAGATCTGAAATTTTGTTTTCCAAGTTTATTTCAAATCTGAAAACTTATTTTTGAAAAATAATTTTAAAATCTTAAGTTTTGAAATTAATATCAAGATCTGAAAAAAAACGAATTTCAGAACCAAAAATCAATTTTGTTTAGAAAAAAAAGAATTTCAGATTCTGTATAGAAAATCCAGAATCTAAAGCTACTGGGCACGGGAGTAGCTTTAACTAAACGCTATTTCAGTCACATTATGAATAATGTGATAACAAACTGTCAGCAAATTGGTTCAAATTCTTTTTTCAATTTAAATAAGAGTGCTCGTATCAGGGCGAGGCCCTGAATGTTCCGACTGCCTCTTAAGGTCTATGGAGCAGTAATAACATGGAAAAATCAAATGAAATAAAACAAAATGAAAAAAAATTTCCTAAAATTTGAAATTTTTTATGAAAATCATCCCCCCACACGCCATATAAAGTACAAAAGGATAGATTTCGCTCCTTGTAACAAATCAATTATGGCAAATAAGCTTCGTTCAACCAATTTGGATCGATTTTAAGACGGATTAAATCTCCGCTTACACGTTGAAAGCGCGAAATATATCGCGCGTTAATTGTCCCAAATTGACCAAAATGGCAATCTTTAAACCCTCATAACTTTACGAAAAATGATCACAGGTGAAATATCTTTTCAAATTTAAGCTCAAGACAACAATACCTTTTGAATGATATTAAAAATTCTGTCAAAAATGGCTAGTTAAAAAGACGAAATTCGTCTGAAGAAAAATAACCCACCCCGAGCACAAATATTCCGTTACTTTCGTATCGAAAGTCGGAACAATAAAAGAATATTTGTTAAAATGTTTTTAAAGCATAAATTGCGCAAGCAAACTACTGTTTTCTTCACAGTCGTTTGAATTGTTTAACGTTTATGAATATCATTTCTTTTCGATTATAAAACCTTCGCCCGCACTGAAAACAAACTAAGCACTTGTAAAATTTTCACCCACTCGTTATATTGGTAAGAGTTTGAATGAACCGTCTGCCAGTTAATGTCACTGAATTTTTTTTGATGGAAAAGATCAAAAAATTTTCTGAAACAACAATGGAAATTTTCCAGCTCAAATAATGTAAAAGATGAGGTTATATACTTAGTGTCAAATTTATCATTAATAAACTTTTGCTTTGCTTAACAAAATTATATTGACTTATAAATCAGATTAGTTTGCCGCGTACGCGTTATTAGCATGATAAATATCGTGCTTTTACTATCTCGAATGGCCAAATTCAAAATTCTCAAAAGTATACAAAAAAGGCAACATATGTTTTGAAGATTTAGCTCAAGATGTCATTCTTTTTCAGATAGTGATAGATAGAGTTTCTATCAATAATAGTAGTTAATTTGTTCAAAATCGAAGGCACCTGAAAGAACTACACCCAGAAATATTATTAAAATAACATCCTAATAAACTAACTGAAATATGTTCTGCTAAATTGATTTTGAAAATCAAAGGATTTTCAAAAAGTCTGCTTGAAGTTTGCGTAAATGAAAATTCGCGTTTATAAACTTTGATCTAAATTTAGCAATTTTTTTTCTTCATATTCTCATAAATTCACCAAGAGATTTGCCGTTTTGAACTCAATTTTAAAAAAGTTTAAATTTGTTAACGGATCTTTTTTTCTTTAAAAAAACATTTTGAGAGCAAATTTGATATGAAAACAGTCCAAAAGTTTTATCATCGAAAATGTTGATGCTTTATATTTTTGCCTCAATTAAGAACAGAATCAAATCGAGCTTTTAAAACCAAACTGCCGAAACGAAAACAGAAATAATAAAATTGATCTTGCTTTTTTACAATTTCAGCACTTCAATAAAGGTTTGCAGAAGGTCAAGTGTGGTATGACATTGAAAATTTTACAGCGACATTTAAAGCCCATAAAAATATTTCAAAAAAACCATTGTCTTAACAAAAGCGCGTCTAAGCGTACAACTTAATCTTTTAAAGAAACTGAGCTGTTTGTAATTCAATTCTTTCAAATTGTAATGACTCAACTATCTCTTCTTTCGGCAGTTCTTTTGCAATCTTTTTTACAACCATTTTAAGTCGGAAAAACTTAACCTTTTGAATTATATTTTTGAAGTGGTACTGTGATCGCTTAGTTCTGGGGTACTTGCACATCAGCAGGTTATCTTTTTTGAATTTTTTTGCTTTTGAACTTTTTTGAATTTTTTCATTTTTGTTTTTTTTCTGATATTTATCTAAAGAACGCGACAAAAAAAAACAAAAAATGAATGCAATAGCTCTTTTCTAATGACGACTATTTTGTTTACCGAATTGTTAAGCTATAAAATTAAAAAAATCAAAAAGTTTTCATGGATTGATACTCTAATGACGTAGAGTATCTCTGACCAGCATATTGAAGAAGGTGGCGATGAATTGCTTTTGTGTTTTAAGATTATGCCTCTGTACAAAAATAAAATGAATAGAGAATACTGTTCGACACGCCTTCTGTAGAGAAAACTGCTCGGAATTTTTATGACGTTCTTTCTCGTCCCATTTCATTTTTTCTTAAATTCGGGTCTTCAAAGAGAGTGACAATGCATTTGTGTTCGGAATGTTTTTTTTCTCCAGACAAATTTCGACAACTTTTTCCAGACTGAAATTTTCTAAACTTCGGGTCTTCGAAATGGGACGAGAAGGAATAATGAAAAATCTTTGATGTGCAGTATCCTCTAAAGAAGGCATGTCAAACAAACTTCTCTTTTTATTTTTAGTTTTGTACAGAGACATAATCACAGAACACAAGAAATATTCATCGCCGCCTTATTCAAAGTGCGAGCAATGCTGGTTAGAGATATACATCGTTCTTAGGGTTTTACTTCATGAAAGTTTTTCGACCGTTTGACTTGGCCATCTAAAAGTGTTTTCTTGCCACCTAAATGTTTTCTTGCAATCTATAAAATATCGGTCTTTAAAACTCAAAACTAAAAAAAATTGCCTGTTATCTACTGTTCCTAACGAAAAGAGGATTGAGTTGGGGATCATTTGGACCATATGATTTCAAGTAAGCATAAATAACGCGAGATACACTTCGTCCAATTATTTCATAGAAGGTAAGTTAACTCATTCTTGATTGATACAGCGAAGCAATCTGCTTCTCTCACAATGTTAACAAGGCCAAA